TGGTACCTAATATGCATTACCTGTTGCCAGTTAGCAAGATAGGAAGGTGATCGCTATGATTCTTTTTAATCTCTCAATGTTCTCCTGGCCTGGTTTTCAATTACCTGCCTGGGATGGAGTAGATGCAACAGTTAAGATTGTTGAATAAATTGTGGAAGAGAAATGAGTGAGTCAGTTGACAGACGAATGCAGAGGAAGAGATGAAGTCTTTGGAATACAAAGGATTCATCTTGGGTTAAAGCTGACTTGAAGAGAAATGTATTTGGTACACCAAAAACAGAAGTATTCGGGCTGATCAGGAAGAGGCTGGATTCAAGGAATTGGATAGAAGCACTCAGGACTCAGTGTGTTGGGGCTAATAATGGTTTCCCTGTTTATCACTGCCCAGTCCTGATCTCTTAAGGCAGACATACCCATGGCAAGAAAGAGTGAGTGGGAAAAGGGAGTTGGTAAGTGTGTGTCTATGTGCAACCTTGTTCTGGGAGAATCCATTGAGATCCCTACATTTCTGCATTTGTTTATTGTGTGTGTGTGTGGGGGGGGCATCTGTGTTTAAGTCATCATGTGTATGGATTGTATATGTTTCTATGTGTTAGCTTGTGAGTCCATGACAGTTAGCCATATGTGCCTATGTGTGTGTGTCTGTCCTAGTAAATGTGAATATATCTCGGGCAAGGCTGTGAGTCTAGATGCATTAGGACATGCCTGTGTCTTTTTGCAGGTGTAGATTCTTGCTTACTTCTTGGTGTGTCTGAGTGTTTGCTACATTTATGAGACTTTGCATAGAATAGCAGCCTACCTGGAAGACATGGTTACTGGTCCTAGGTCTTACACATCTCTGCTTCATTTTGTCACCTTAAATAAATCCTTCTGAACCATTTGAAAGCAGCACCTGAAATACTTAGGGCCCCAGGAAGAGCTATGCATCATCATCAGCATTCAGCATCCAGCAGCCCAGTACTCGGCCGATTGATTCAGGAGATGCTAACAAAATTCCAGCAAACGTATTTCCCCATCATTTATAGTAGTTAGTAGCTATGAGTGAGTGAGAGTGTGTGAGTGTGACATTTATTAATATCTACCATTTGCTATGTGTTTGTCCCACTTCTTTTAAGATGGAGTCTCACCATGTTGGCCAGACTGGTCTCAATTCCTGGGCTTAAGTAACCTTCTGGCATCAGCCTCCTGAGAAGCTGAGACTATAGGCATGCATGCACCACTATGCCTGCCTTTTAATTGGAGGTAGAGAGGGAGGGAAAGAGAGAGAAAGAGAGAGAAAGAGCCCTAAAGAGGTTTAGTAGCTTTCCTATTTTCCTTTGAAATTTTAATTGTCTGTAGTATTTTTGTGGGAGCCTTTCTTGATTTCCAGGAGAGTTAGAAAAAACCCCTATGCAAGGCCAAAGGTCAGATGGGTAAAGACAACTAAATACTTAGTTATATACTTAGAATGTTTCTCATCTGGTGGGGAATAAGAGTATCACAGCAGGAAAAATATCAGTAAATGAGATCTAAGTTTAAATGAGGGTTGCAAGAAATTATAAGACTGAGAGGAGAAAGGCTGTTAGTTGGCTGTAGAAGTCCAGAAACCGCATGGAACATATTGGTGGATGTGGACTCAGGGCTGGGTATGCGGATAGGCTAAGAAAAGTATTCCAGACAGGTACATCATGCAAAGAAAGCTTGTGAGAAATTTGTAATAGGCAGTGAAAAAGCGAACCAGGGTGGGAATGGGGGAAGAGAAAGCCTAGGGCAGCATTTGGAGGTAAGACTGGAGAATGTTCCTGGGAGCCATGTTTGAAAACCTTGGACACTAGGCTGCACTGAATCAATGGGAAATGTGGAGCTGACCAGACAATAAAGTTAAGTGGGAAGAGCATAGCTCAGGAATTCCCAGGGCCCTTACAGCTCTGGCTTTGTCTCTCTCTAAGGTTGATCTCTCTACCCACAGGAAGCACATTGGAGTCTCTGGACTGAAATGGATAGCAATGTATCTGCCCTCAAGGCTTGGGATCTCTGGCCAGGAGGGAGTCCAGCCTACAGTCTCTGCAGGAAGTGTTTAAATCTGGCACACTGCCCTGCAGGTGAGAGAACCCAACATGTCTCTGCTATTTTCTTGCTTTGTATTCTGTCTTCCTCCCTACCCCATCTCCATCCACTCTGCACAGTATTAGAGAGAAGAGACCACATTTTAGATCCAGTCCTTCCCAAAAATATCTTCTTATGCCTTCACATTCCCTTTTCCCTACCTACAATGTCTTCCACTCCCAAGTGTCTATGTATCTGGTAATCTACTCATTCTTTCAAATCAATTTAGAATCCTATTTTTTGGAGTCTTCCTCACATCAGCCAGGCAGAGGAAATTAACCCAAGTGTCTATGTATCTGGTAATCTACTCATTCTTTCAAATCAATTTAGAATCCTATTTTTTGGAGTCTTCCTCACATCAGCCAGGCAGAGGAAATTAAACCTACTTCTTTCCACAGCTGAGGGTGGTCTTACTATATTGCATGTAGGTGGAGGTCAAGGGCAATGGCTGATTTACCACTGTAGTCCCAGTGATCAACACAATCCCTGATCTGCAGTAAACACTGAATAAATGGCATGAATTTTATTATTGAACTACTCTACTGTACTATGGAACTCCTCATTGCCAAAACCCAGCTAGAACACTGTGTCAAAATCCTGTTAAAAGATGTTGACAAAGCAAAGAGAGACCAGAATGAAAAAGGACCTGTGAATTAGGATATATAAGAAACGATCTATGCCACAAGGAATGTTTGGTTTGAAGAGGACTTAATAGACCTAGCAAAGATTCCCTTGATCACTATGTAAAAAGCTGCAGAGAAATCACTCTTTGCATGGTTGTCGTTAAAGTCCTGAATTGCAGCCATTTGTAGAAGTTATAAGAGAGCAGGTTTCAGCTGGAATTAAGAAAAAAAATGAAATAGCTAAGAGAACTGAAGCTCTGGATTCGTTTATCTCAAAAAGCCATAAAGCAGCAAAAAGAAGCAATCAGATGTTGAAGGAAAGGGAGCTAATGTCTATTAGCATCTGTTCTCTGTAAAATCCTTGTGCATACATGACTGCATTTAATCTTCACATCAATCAGGTAATTGAGGAATCAACATCTCCATATTATAGATAAGGAGAATGGTGATTAAATGAAGGTGGGTCCATGTGTCTACATAGCCAATCAGAATTAAAGTCCAGGTGCTATGACTTCAAAGCCATGCTAATTCTGTTGTGTCACACACCCACCTAAAGAAAGTTTGGGAAGTGAAAGTCAAGGGTTCTGCAAAGGAGGATCTTGCATCACCTTGCAAGATTGGAGGTCTGTCAAGATCCTGGTTTCATTTTAGGAGTCCAGTATATGATTTCCCTGGGATAGCTCCCAAGTGACAATGATAGAGAATAAGAGAAATGAAGACATAGCATGTACTTGGAGCTTGTCCTGGAAATTGATAGTTGCACTCACAAGATTTTGCCCATAATTCTCTCCCCTTTACCCTCTCTTCACCTCTGTTTTCAGTCATTGCTCTTAAAAAAATCTTCATTCAACAAATATTTATTGGATAAGTTTTGTGTTCAGATCATTATAAAGGGCCGTGCAATACAGCTCATTCTTGCACGGAGCTTTTCTGCTATGTTATCCATTCATTCTCTGGAAACTCACCAAAAGCTTGACATTTGACCCTTCCTCCTCGGCAGGTTAGTTTAGTAGTAGAATATTTTGAAAGACTTTGGAGCAATGGGGGAAAAAGTGCAGTATATTAAGGAAGAGATTGAATAGGGGACAAAATGTATGTATCATATCTGAGATCATAGCAGTCTCTTGGTTAACTGAGAAATTTAGAAGTTTTCTGTCCATCTGATTTAGGCACTGAGGTCAAAGTAAGAGCAAGTCTTGTCTTAGTGTCATCAATGGATGTTTCACCCTCTTCATTCCATGCCTTCTCTACCAACAATCCTATCTAAGCTCTTCTCACTCTCTGGAATGCTCTCTCCTCCTAAAGAGCAGTATGTCTGTTTGATGAACTCCTAATTATTCTCCTAGATGCAATTCAGGTACCACTTCTTTGAATTCTTCCCCAACTCCTCCAGGAAGAGTAATTTACTCCTACTTGATTCTTAAAATTAGAAAAGCACTAATTTACTATGCAAGATGCTGTAGGCCAAACTATTTGAGGGCAAGAAACTAAGGGTCATTCATCTTGCTATCTCCTACAGTAGCCAGTACAGGAGGCAGGAACACATACTCCATGGCTCAAATCCAGTCCACCACTATTTTGTAAGTGAGATTTTATTGAAACACAGCTATGGCCATTAATTTATGTTTTGTAGATGGCTGCTTTTGCAGTACAATGTCAGAAACCATATGGCTTACAAACCAAAAATGTTCATTATATAATTCTTTAGAGAAAAGGTTTGTCAGTTCCTGAAACAACACATAATATGGGATAAAAATGAATGGCAAATGAAATAAGGTTTTGTGCAGAGATTAAGACCTGAGTCTTAACTAATAACTGGCTAAGCAAGTAAAGTTGATGACAATTGATGATAGACTAATGATGGATATACATCCATCATTAAGTAGATTTGAACATTTTATGTGTGCCAAGCGTGGTTTTAAACTATTTTAAAGTTATTATTGACTTTGTCCTCATAACCAGCTCCAGAGATAGTTAGTCACAGTAGTTTCCTTGTTAAAGAAGAAGCAATGAGAGATGTCACACCACCCTGGTGGCTCAATCAGGACACAAAATTAGGTTGGATATATTCCATAGTTTGGGACTAAACTTATATCCCAGAACATCCTTCTGAAATTCATTTTCTTCACAAAATTAGGTTTATTGGATGACAGTGTGATTTTTGAATGCATTTTAGGAAGCAGAAACTTATATGATCAAAATTTTGGTACATACAAGAACCCTACCTAGAAATCTCCAAAATCATATTTGCCTCATCTCTTCCCTCAGTGTTTCCATCTGTCCAGGCACTCCATGGCTCTGGCTAACCTCACATCCCACCCAGAGATCTTCCTCCTTGGTTTGATGGATGACACAGACAGCCACCCACTGCTGTTCCTATTCTTCCTTAGTGTTTACCTGCTCAATGCCCTGGGCAACCTGAGCATGGTCATGCTGGTGAGGTTCAACAGGGCTCTGTGCTCCCCCATGTATTATTTCTTGGGTCACCTGAGCCTGGTGGATGTCTGCTTTACCACGGTTACTGTCCCTCAACTGCTGGCCAGCCTGCTCCACCCTGGCCAGGCCATGTCCTTCCAGGCCTGCTTTGCACAGATGTACTTCTTTGTGGCCCTGGGCATCACTGAAAGCTATCTCCTTGCAGCCATGTCCTATGACCGTGCAGTGGCAGTCTGCAGGCCATTGCACTACAGTGGGGTCATGACGCCCTGGCTTTGTGCTTGGCTGGTCGTGGCATCCTGGATCGTGGCCAACCTGCACTCGTTGCTCCACACACTGCTCATCTCTGCACTCTCCTACCCCCGCTATGCTCCAGTGCCCCACTTTTTTTGTGACATGATGGTGATGCTCAGCTTGGCGACTTCAGACACATCCTCTGAGGAGAATGCAATCTTCTCTGAGGGCCTCACAGTGGTGCTGATCCCGCTGCTCCTTGTGTCCCTCTCTTATGCACACATCCTGGTGTCAGTGCTAGGAGTGAGATCAGCGAGTGGCCGATGCCGAGCCTTCTCTACCTGCGGGACTCACCTGGTGGTGGTATCACTTTTCTTTGGCTCTGTCCTCTCTGTCTATTTCCGGCCATCTTCTGCCTACTCAGCCAGCTATGACCGTTTTGCTAGCGTGGTCTATGCAGTGGTCACACCGACCTTGAACCCTTTCATCTACAGCCTTAAAAACAAAGAGGTAAAGGGTGCTCTAAAGAGGGGGTTTAGATGCAGAGCTGTACCCAAAGCTGTGTAAAATCAGATCTGGATGAACTGACATTTCGGAAACAATTATCAAAGTCTCTCTCACTCTCATTTTCTCTCTCTCTCTCTGTCCTTTAAGAGCTCTATTAATCTTGATATTTTCATTCAATAGCATTTGATTGTTTGTGTTTGTTAAATACAAAAAATAGACCTGCATTGTATATGACTATGCTTTTATTACAGGTACCATGAAGTTAGACAGTACGTTAAATTTGTTTGTATATTACCAGAAGCTTGAAATAAGGTCTACATTTTAAGTTTTGTAAAGTAAAAAGGTGTAAAATGAAGGTAAGGAAAGAGTGTTATGTGTGGAGAGGAAAGGAAAAGTGTAAACAGTAGAAATGGGTGTGCATACAGGGAAGCCTGAGCAGCAGTAGAGGTCAGAGGAATGTTTTAAGGAGGTTTTATTGAATGTGCTGCAATGTCACCTACAGCCCTGCTGACTCCAACCTGGGAAACTTCAGTAAAAGTCTAGTTACCTTACAGTGGTTTAAAATTATTAATTCTATTCTTCACAGACTATATCCACCATTTTCATTGTAAAAATTCAAAATGAGAGATACAGGTTAAATTTTCCTTCACCCCCCATCAACCTCCATCACTATCTTACCTTCTGTCTCTCCCTACCCCTCCCATTATGAAACATAAGTAAATAAATGGTATCATTTTATATGTATCATTCTGCAATTTCCTTTTATTATGAAACAGAACACCTAGGCAATCTTGCTATATCACTACAGATAGAACACTTCCATTTTTAACCTCATGGTGTCGAACCTTTGAGTTGATCTCTCAGAGGTTACTCGTTTCTCTGTTGATGAATATGTTAATATCTTAAGATGCTTTTTCTTATTTTTTACTATTAAAAGGATGTAACAAATATTCTTGCCATAAAAATAACAAAAGACAACATTTAGTGAAGACTCGTTTGTGGCAATCCTGGGCTTTACTGCTCCATGCACATGTCTCCATCAAATGGAAGATCCTCGAGGAAGACACTGTTATTCCCATTGTGCAAGAGGAGAAGCAGGTGGAGAGAAAATGAGTAACTGTCCCAGTGCCCTGAGCCTAATAAGGTAGTCTTCAGTGACTTGTAATCTGTTCTCTTTTCCATCTTACTGAGCAGATTTTAGTAATATACAAGTTCTTAGAACCTAATTGTGTCCATGTTTTAAAATCTTTATTATTATTTTTATTTGCTTCTTTTTATTTTTGTTATAAGCATGTATTAATAGGGTTTGGTGTGATATTCCACCACATACATACCACATGCACTGATGAAATTCAGCACCCCATAATGGACCATCCTCCTTTCCCACCTTGAATTATTAAATTGCACAATTTGCTTTTCATTTGTCTCCTTTTTATTTGTTTAGTTCTTTAATTATGCCTTTTTTCTATGTTGTCTTGTTTTGGATGCTAAATTTTAATTTGTTTTAATAATTTTTCCAAAGAAGTAATATTTACTGCAATTGACATTAACTCCATTATTTCTTGGAATTTGACTCCTTCAATGTTTTTTACTTCATCTTTATTAAGTCTTCCCTCTTAATTTCTTCATTTTGATTTCATATTACTTTTTATCTAGATTCTTGAGGCTTATGTAGCATGTTAACCCACTGTTAATGGAAAGTGACATCTCTTCTCTGAGAACAAATAATTATGACTGTGCTTTCACATTGCATGGATCCTGCAGATCCTCTTCTACTCAGCCATGTCTTCCAACTGGTTCTGAGCTCTGACCTTATCTGCTACCCCAGGTTTCCCCCTCTCCTATCAATACAGCTTCTGGTAACACATTGGCTCTCAGCTCTTAGGTGCTGCCTGAGCAGAACCAGTGTGTCTAAGGACTTTTCAGATCCACATGGCCCAGGGTGGTTGAGAAGGTTCGTGTGTGTATGTGTGTGTGTGTGTGTGTGTGTGTGTGTGTGTGTGTGTAGGGGAGGGCAGGGATTCCATCTGTGACACTTTTTCCAAGATCAGTGCTGCTATAATGTGCCTGACTCATGTAGTTGTGAACTTGCCATAGGCACAGAATCAACAGGGTCAAGGACTATGGAATGAAACCTCTGAAACATGAGCCAAAATAAATATTTCCTCCTTTAGGTTGTTTCTTTCAAATGACAAAAAGTACCTAAAACAAAGACATTACAACTGACTCCACAGAAGTGTAAAGACTGTTATGACACTATGTATAACCTAGGTGAAGTGTATAAATTACTAGACACATGGAATATGCCTAGTTTGAATTACAAAGTAAAAAATCTGAGCAGACCAATAATCAGAGGAGATTGTGTCAATAACACAAGGTTTCTCATCAAAGAAATTTGCAGAGTCTGATGGCTCCATGTTGAATCAGACACTTCAAGAACTAATGCCAATTCTCCCTGAACTTTTCAAAATTGTTAAGAGGAACTAATACTTCCAAAATTTATTTTACAAGGCCAGAATTACCCCCAAATCAAAGATAAGCAGGGAAATCACAAAACAATAACAGTACAGGCAAACATCCTCAGTGAACATAAATGCAAAATTCTTCAACAAAATACTAGAAATCTGAATTCCGTTCACACATTAAAAGAATTACTCACCAAAAGAGGGATGACTCAAATTAATAAAATTAGACATGAAAATGGGGCTACAATAATAGATAACAATGAAATTCAGAGGATCACTAAGGATGAGTTGAGAACACATCACTTAAATATTTTATCACACTTTGGCACTGTCCTTTGTGGCCCTGTGTAGTGCTGAGCCACCTATGCCTAGGGGATAGAGGATTTCAGCTCAAAAGTGGTCTAGAAGGCAATCTCTGAAAGAAAGTCAATGGATTTCATGAGTCAAGAAGCGTAAGAAGAGTAGCCTTATCCTAAAAGACAGTGCCAGGAGAGATGCTTCCCTGAACATTGATGGCAGGGTCCTGAAAATGCTAGTGTCAAAGCATTCAGTTTTATAGCCATAGTGTCCTACAGATGTACACAGCACACAAAAGACTTAAATAAGAATTCAATTCAACAAGAAAAGACTCTGAAATTTGCATCAAGATGGCAGCTAAGTAACAATTCCCAGTAACAATCCTCACAGACATATCAAATTGAACAGCTATTCTCACAAACTTCCTCCAGAAGAACTAAGCAAATCAAGACTGGTGGCATAGTAGATTTGTTTACACCATCATCACACAAACACACTTGTGAGCACAAGAGGGTATAGAATGCCTGGTGACAGAGAGTGCTGAATGGGTACACAGTCGGGAGGTGGAAGGAAGGGAATGAGGTGAGTGTAGCTGCAGTGGCTGGAAACCCCAAGCTAGACTGGCTATCTCTGCTTCAGGGATCATTCAACTCATAGGACCATACCAATTGCATGACAGATGCCTCCTGTGAGTCAAAAGATTTACTGACAATCAGTGCAGTCCTGCCATTAGCCACAGATGCATCCTGGAAATCTTGGCACAGACCTAAGCAGTATGTTGCAGAAAAGTGTCAACAAAAACAGAGCCCAGAATTGCAGTCACTGACTAGGGAACACTGCCTGTGAGTTAGTGGGGGCCTGGGAAACATAGAGGATGCAATGGGTCAGGTGGGAGTGAAACTAAGTCTGCGAGGGTAGGAGCCGGGCCCCTGGAAGCCAAGATGAGAACTCGGCCCCTGGAATCCAAGACCAGAAGTTTAACCCTACATTTCTGTACTGGTACCTTGGGGTTCAGACCCTCACAGCTCTCAGTGGCTACTCCACAACTGAGCTAAACCCCCAAACCACACAGTCCCTACTCCCCTTACTGGTTCAGACTTTTGGAAAAAGAAAAAAAACCTCTCAGGGAAGGAAGGTAGTAATTCTCCTCCTCAACAACAAAGAAAATATTGTTTGTTTTTGTCTTTGTCTTCTGTCGGTGTTTTTTTTTTAAGTTTCGTTCTGTTTCTTTTTATATTTTAAACATTTTTATCAGTATATATTAATTATATATGTGTATTTCATTGTGACATTTCCATATATGTTTACAATGTAGATTGCCCCCTCTGCCATTCTCTCTCATCACCCTCTTCTCTTTTTCAAAATTTCTATGCTGGGTTGGGGTACATTGTGACATTTATATAAGTTCTTAGAATGTATCAAATATATTATACTTGAATTTACTGCCTCCACTGTTCTCCAACATCCCCCCTCCCTCCATTCCCAGAATAGTTTCAACAGGTATCATTTTTATGTTTAAATACATGTGTATCAGTATTTGCACAATATTCACCCTACTACAATCTTTCCCCTCCACTTCCCCACTCCCACTGGGCCTGATCCTCCCATGCCTGTACAGGGCATGTTCTGCCCTTCTGTTCTCCAATTTTGTAAAAGAAAAAATTTAAAAATGACATTTTGGATTGTTTATGACAGCTTACACAGGGAATTTCCTTGTGATCTTTCCATGTATATATGTATTATAACCTGAATTTGTTCGTTCCCTCTATTTTTCATCATTCTACTTTAGTTCCTTTCTTATGGTGGCTTCAACTAGTTTAAAAATTCTATACTTATTCTTGTATAGAGAATACATCATTTATATTTATCATTTTAATTTCCCTCTTTTACCCTACCCCTCTTCTGCATGATCTCCCCATAGTGTGAACTGTTTCTCATAATATTACTGTAATTGTATTAGGTCTGTATTCCAAGTATGAGAGAAAACATGCAGCTCTTGGCCTTCTGAACATAGCTCACTTTACTTAAGATGATGTGCTCCAGTTCCATCTATTTACCTGCAAATGACAAAATTTCATTCTTCTTTGGGGATGAATAAAATTCCATTGTGTATAAACACCACATTTTCTTAATCCATTTGTCAGTATTGGGGCATATTGGCTGTTTCCATAGCTTAGCTATTGGGAATAATGTTGCCATAAACATGGGTGTACACATGCCTTTTTTGTAACCTGACTTACATTCCTTCGGGTATATCTCTAGGAGTAGAATTTCTGGATCATATGGCAAATCTATTTT